TTTTCATCATTCAATAATAGTTTATTTCCTATATATGAGCATTTCCTTTTCATATTAGAAGTATTCTAAATATTCTTAATTTAATCCGAAGCCTTTTAAAGAAGATGACTAAATAAATTTTAGTTATTTCATGTTAAATTTGTTCAAGAAAAGAAAATGATATTCAGATTTTTCATATTTAAAATACCAATTATAAAAATCCAATATTTGGTTATGTAATAATAAAGTTATTCATTTAATTTATGAAGGTCTCATTTTGTTTTGCTTCTAAAAACAGTTAATGATTAAGATGTTCATAGTTAATGCCAATAGCAAAGACCTTATTGTAATTTTTGCCTGACTAGTCATGGTCAACACTTGAAAAAGTTAACATCATTAGAACTTTTAGATGATTGGATTCGTAAAAGAGTACTTATTACCTAGAATGTTGAATAAAAGGTTTAGGAGTGCAAATTAGCCCTTGATAGTCTACTAAATAAATTTATTAGCTTATACAATGTTAATTTGGTATAGTTACCTAAATTAGGACTTTCATAGATTGACTAATTAATTAAAGGTTTAAATTTAATTGAGCTATAGGAGAAAACTTTACTTAACTAGTTCCTATTATATATCGAATAAATTAAATAAATAGTTTAAGAAATTTTGGAAAACCAAAAAAAATAAACAAATTTGAGCTAAACAGATAATTTATAAATTTTAAAACCTTTTGAGATCAAAGAATAGATTTTTGAATAATAAATAAATCCAAAACTCATAAAATCAAGTTTCATAAAACCAAATCTAAGACCATTCACTTTTGAATTGATGAATTAAAAATACTAATAAATAAGAAGTTGGTTGTTATGCAATCGCGATTAATAAAGATAACTCAATTTTTTTAGCAGGGTGTGGCATGTAAATTAAAGTATTTGATCTCAAATAAGGAAAATTAAATGAATTATAGCTCTTAAGTTATCATTAACAAGATGGTTTAACATTAAAACTTTATGAAGAAATCAAATAATTTTGTATCTGGAAGTACAGATAAGTCAATTATAATATGGTACATGAATCAGAATAATTAATGGAAATGCTAACAAAAATTGGATGGACATTCTGATGCTATTGGTGTTTATTATTGAATAATAATGAAAACTTTATTATCTCAGGCAGTTATGATTCATCTATTAAATTTTGGAATAAATAAAATGGATGATTGTGCTAATAAACTATTAAAGATCATACTAATTATGTCTATTCATTAAGTTTAAATGAAAAGTAAGATAAATTGATCTCTTGTTCACTTGATTCATAAATATTCGTAATTGAATATTCTTAGAATGATTAGAAATGGAATGTAAGTTAAAGGATAAAAGTAGAATAACATGGACGTCGATTAAGCTTTATAAATAATAATTAATTCACATTTTAACCTTATATTCAAGAATAAATGCATTTATATTAGATAAATAGTAGAAATCAATAATATTTTAAGTCAAAGCAAATTACTGTAAAATCTGGTTCACTTTGTTGTATTAATCAATTTCCATAATAATATTTAAAATGTAAATGTCTTTTAGTGAATAAAAATAGTTACCATATCAACTTAATAAGAAAGTTAGAAAACGGAGATTTTGTGACTGAATAAAATATTCAATTTGATCATCCTCATATTTTTGGTTAATTAAGTGATGATGGTGAATATTTAATCACTTGGGATTAGAAATCAAAAGAAATACAAATTAGAAAATGCAAGGAATTATGAATAATATTTAATAAATATGAGAAATTTAGAAAAAAATATTATAAAATTAATTTATGGGGTTTCTTCTCAAATATAGCTTAATAAGACAATATTTTCCTTGAGAAATTTACTAAAATCAATATGAAAGTAAATGGTAATAGCCTGAGCTTGCAAAGGAATAAATAATACAGAAAAAAAAATTTAATTGAAATTAATTTTGAAGTAACATCTTATTTAGTTTAATTTTAAATATAATACAATGATAATTATTTGGATTAAAATAATTTGAAACTAGGCTTATTTATACATTATTCTAATTTTTTTTAATTAGGCAGATCTTTTAAGTTGACAAATATTATCCATTAAATAATATAGAATAAAGTTTGATTTTTTAGATTGAATACCGAAACATTTGTTAACTTCATTATGAACAATCTAAAGTTCATAAATATTTAATTTTAGCCAATCTCATTTATTCAAATGAAATAATTGTTATGGCTTTTTAGGGATTATGTTTATCACTTATATAGCAAAAGTATTTTCTGATTAATATTAAAATCAAGTAATGTAATATAAGATTTCAACTTGAATAGTTGTTTGATATTTTTAATTGTGAAATTTGTAAATTATTGATGGAAATTATGAAAGATTATAATTTTAACTTTAAATAATGTACCTAAATATTAAAATTTTACATTTCGCTAACTTTTTCTTGAAGAATAATCTATACTTGAAACTCATGCGTTTTATTTTAGACTTAGCAAGTATATAAAATTTTGAAAAAATAATTTACTTTTTGGATAATTAAGTAAAATATGTTGAATTTTATTAAAATTAGTAAGAAAATAATTTTTCATGTAATTTAGTTGAAAATAAATTAGTAAAAATAATAATCTTAAGCTAACGCAAAATTAATTAGGATGCAATTAATAATAAAAAGTTAAGCTTTTAGGATTAATAAATTTTGACAAAGTTATTTTATTATTGGAGAAGCTGGTGAGGTACTCTTGAAATAAGATGATGGATCTTTTCAAAAAAAGAACCTATTTTGATGACACACCAGAGAAGTTGAAACAAAGGACCATTTTTATTAAAATTAAATTATTAAGTGCTGGTTTTAAAGCAGTTTGTTGATGTAGGGTACCTGCCAAAATACAATTTAGGGCAGCCCTTATCAAAGGCTAATAATTGATGACCACTACTTTAAGACCAGAATAAGTTATTTTAATTAAAAAATTCGTTTTTTTTTGGACAAGGGTCCCATTTGTGCTAAATGACACCTTTTTAATTAGCCTGCTCTTTTAACCACCTCGGTTTTACATATCAACATAAAGAAGGGAAGAATAAGTTATTTGGAATGAGAAAATAGATGCATGAATAGAAAGCCAGATATATCTAGAAGAATGCCCTAACTTGAACAAAAAATTATGAATAATAGGAAATTAGTGCTTCAATAATTGCTTAAGGTTAGCCTAGAAATTAAAAAAAAGAAAAAAACTGTAAAAATAGAGAACTTAATCTTACGTTCTTGATGCCTTATATCAAATCATAATTTGGTGAATCGTTAATTTTGTAGAAAAAATTTTTGCCTGATAATTTGAATAAAGATCAAAAGACTACACATATTGAATCCAACTTAGCAAAATTGATGCCAAAGATCTTAGGCTTACTATTATACAAAACTCTTATCAGATAGAGGGGTTGATTTAAACCTTACCAGTCTAGGACTAAAAGGAAGGTTCACTACCCTACATCTAACACATAATAAACTTTAAGAATTGAAGAGAATTTGCTAAAAATTAGGATTATTGTTAAGAAAATAGTATACTAGTCAAGGTATTTTAAATAAATTATAAAAAT